AAACCAATAGGTACAGTAGGATCAAAAACCCATTGCCATTGTTCTTGAGGTCTCAGTAGTCCTCATTGTCCACTATGTTCAGCGAGACCGGTTTTAACCCGGGCTTTTTCAGACCCAGGCCAGCTGGCCTTGGTGAGTTCCCGATAGAACATCCCCCTTGTCTCACTTTTTGCATGTATCAGGTCTCAGTCTTTCCTGTAATGGCTCATTCCCTCTGCGGTTCTCCATCCCCCCATGCACACCTTCTTGGCAGCTCCTCCACTTCCCTTTCTGAACTTCCACACCAGTCACCTAATCTTTTTTCTGTAATAATACTGTTGATCACAGAGTCATACATGTGTACTTGGAATGTTAAACTGCACAAATTTACAGGGCACAATGCTATGTAACACACAATGGAATCAGGCCACATGTGCCAATCAAACCAGGTAAATTAATATTTCCATCTCAGTATATGGAAATACCACAACATGCATGTGAAGATCATAAAACAAACTTGGATATCTGTCCTTGCCTTTTACCCTGGTATTATATGTGTTTAGAGCCTTTCAAATTCCTCTCACCTGTTTATTCACAAAATATATAATAGATTATTGAAAATTATAGTTTTCTAGTTATGCTGTAAAGAAGAGCATTTATTGAACATTATTAAACTTCTACCTGTCCCCACTCTCTCATACTTCTCAGCCTCTAGTGATCACTATTCTATATTCATGTCAAATTTATTGTCATCATCAATTATTGTTTATTTAACCTTTTTCTACAGGACAGTGATGTCAGGTATATATTATTCTAAATGATTAATTTATTGACTGTTAGGATCAGCTATAAAATTACTCAGCTTTTTTAACTATACAAAATCATGGATGTATTCACAAACCTCATTGTGGGTCTAGGACAGTTATTGGGTTCTGGGGAAGGGATGTCATTTTCTTCAGTAGTGTAGTCTCTGCTAAATACGCACATACCATTAAATAACAACATACCACCCATGTCCAGGAAACTCTGGTGGCATTTAGTGGGTCAAAAGAACACATCAAAGTATAAATGGGCTTCTGGACAAGAGTGGGCTCAGCAACAGAGCAAGAACAGAGGGAAACAGGGGATGACAAAAATGGCCAAAATTTATTGTATGCATATTTGAGAACAAAAGGGTGTTTTAAAATAGCCTTTCTAAACATCCACATATGAGAGTTAACATACAGTACTTGTACTTTTGTTTTGGCTTGGCTTTGTGATACCAAAGGTCAAACCCAGAACTTTCTGTATGGTAGGAAGTGTTCACCAAATGAGCTGTTCCCACAGAACAGATGAAGGGAACCCGAGGGATTTCAGTGCTTTTTGCTTGTTCTGTATAATGAATAAAAGCTGATAATGAAGTCTTCCAGATGCACAAATCACTTGATCAAGGAAAATCAACAGTAATTAGGAAAGCCAAGAAGATAAGTAACATATTCTGGCTTCCTCTGAGGTCCTGGATCAGTACCATGATCTGCCCATTTCCAGTTCCAGGAAACCATGAGTCTTTGTCTTCACTGCTGTTACTTGAAGCAGTGTCTCTCACTCGCCTGGGGCTCACTGATTAGAGTAGTCTGACTGGCCAGAAAACCCAGAAATATGCTTGCCTCTAATCTGCTTGTCTCTGCCTCTGCACTGGATTTGTGAGTGCACTCACCACTCCTTGGCTGTTTGTGTGGGTTTTGGGGTGGCAAAGTTAGGTGCTCATTCTTAAAAGTCAAGGGGGCTGGAGAAATGGTTCAGTGATTAAGAGTTCTTCCAAAGTACCCAGGTTCAATTCCCAGCACCAACATGTCTAAAACTCCAAGATTTGACAACCTCACACAGACATACATGCAGGAAAAATGCCAATGCACATAAAATGAAATAAATTTTTAAGAAGAAGCTTGAAAGTCAAACACTTTATCAACAAAGATTTATCTCCAGAGACCCACAATACTATTTTTAAATGAAATGGTCATAGGTCCTTTGTAGTTTAACTCATGTCCCCCAACACCAATGGAGTAAAATAGCTTCTGCAAGCCATCTGAGCCTAGGCTGTTTCCTTTCAGAATTTCCCATTCCTACCATATCTGCTGCCACAAGTCCTGTGGTTCCCTGGAATGGGTCTGTGAGGATCCTCTGCCAGGGAATTCCTGAAGCCTTCCTGTACCAGTTGTCTCTGATGAAAAACTCCACACACACAGTTATAGAGAAGAAACTGGGATTTCAGAAAGAGGCCGAATTCATCATCAACCACATGAATACAACCACAGCCGGATGTTATCAGTGTCAGTACAGGAATAAGGACCACTGGTCAGAGTATAGCAAACCCCTGGAGCTGGTGGTGACAGGTAAGGAGGTACCTTGGGAGCCTGGTCTTCTGATAGTTATTTTGTCTTAATTTTAGCAGACTTTGTTTTGATTTTGTATTTGCTTTTTGTTAATTACATTTGTTAGTAGATAACTTCATACAATGTACACAATACATACTGACAGCTCTCACCCCCACTTCTGCTCATTTCGTTTTGTGACCCACCGAGATTAACCAGGGCCATTCCTATTACTAAGGGTTTGAAGGTATCTTATGTGGGCTCAGCAGTAGGTATACAACTAAAGGCAATGATTCCCCCTCTCCCAGAGTCTTTCAATAGCCAGGAATTCCTTCTCAAAGAGTAGGACCCCTTGATTACTCCCTCATCCCCCAACTCCCCTACTTCCTTGGCTTATTATTGACAGGATTGCTCTTGTAGGTAATTACAACTGTATGTTAATAATTGTAGTGGTTCTTTTAAGTCTAGAGAGTGACATTTAGTAGGCCCCACCCTGTCTTCCACCTCTTAGATAATTCCTGTTCACCTTTGGGCAGTGTTGCCTAGGTCTTCGACAGAGATAGCACAAACATCTTGTTTATGTCTGGGCCTACAACTGTCTTTATTCTGTGCATGTTAGGCAGCTGTGAGTCTCTCCATTCAATGATGTTCCTCTTTTAGTTTTTATTTAAATTGTTTTCACATAATGTATTTTTAGCACATTCCTTTCTCTCCCCCAGTTCTTCCCAGATCCTCCCCACCTCTCATATTTTTAGAATAGCTTTAGGTTCATAGAAAAATTGAGTTGTTGAAGACTGAGAAGACCAATAATGAATGAACAAACATTGGTGTATCTCTCTTATACCAATTTAGTTGGTATCTAAAATATATTCAGAGTTCCTTGTCTGGTATCTAATGGTCCTTATCTACTCCAGGACCGCTTCCAAGATCTCACATTGCATTTGGTTCTCTATTGTTTTTGATAGTTTTGACAGTTTTGAAAAGTACAGGCAAGCATTTTCTGGGACTTCCCATTCTTAGAAATTGCCTGATATTTTTCTCATGACTACACTGGGTCATAGTTCATTACAAGAAAAACAGAGGTGACAAATGCTGTATTTTGAATGTTCTTACCACAAATAAAACTGTGAGGTGACATATATGCTATTCGCTCTAACTAATCATTATACAATGTATGCATGTGATAAATATCATGGTATACATGATAAATGCACAAAACCTTTTTAGTTTAAAAACTAGGTCATGTCTGATGAGGCACACTAGTAATCCAATAATCCCAGAGGTAGAGGCAGGAGAAACAAAGGTTCTAGGTCATCCATTGCTTCATAATTAATTTGAGGTTAGTCCCAACTACATGAGAGTGTTTTTGAAAGAAATGGAGTTGGGGAGGGCAAAGGAAGGAAAGGAAAGAGAAGAAGATGACAGGTGAGGAGAGAGGAGTGGACACGGGAGGGGAAGGAAAGGGAGGGGGAGGGGAGGAGAAATTGGGTGTGTTGGTACACACCAGTGATCCCAGCTCTCAAGAAGCTGAGACAGGAGGATCACGAGTTCAAGATCCTATCTCAAAATCTAAGTAAATTT